TTGAAATTCTTCCAAGGGCGTACCCTAACTCGTCAAAAATTAAATGAAGACATTTTTTACAAAATTAAATTATTCATTCAGGGTTTTCCACAAGATTAACCAACATAAATTGAGGAATTACACAAGATTAACAAACATAAGATGAGGAATTACTAGGATTAGTTGAAATCTATGTTAAACATAAATTTAATTTTGCTAAAAGCATATACAGGGTGTTCCATAATTATTGCGACAAAATGATAGGGGTTGTAGAGGGCATAAAAATATGCAATTTTGCCTTGTAAACCCCTGTTCGTAAATATGCCGTTTGAGCACTACCGCTAATTTTACCTTAAGGGCTCATAGGAGAAACAAAAAATTCACGAGCTCCAAAATGTTCGTCTAGAACATTTCATGGTCTCGCCGGTTTGTAAAAAAAGCCTGCTGTGTTTACATTTTTGTTATCGTAAATTCTCCACACCGATTCATTTAATTTATCTGAGTGGTGCGTCAAACTAGATAGTAAATAACAGTACCTTAGTGTTAAAATGCACCGTTATTCGTATGCGGAGCTGGCGGATATGCATTTAATTTACGGAGAAGCTGGTGGTAACGGAAGACGAGCCTCGCGAATCTACGCCCAACGGTTTTCAGAACGTCCTCATCCGCATCACGCCATTTTTGCAAGGATGCATGGACGTCTTCGTGTCAGTGGCAGCATCAGACACCTCGCGGGAGCAGGGCGGCCCTTCACGAGGCACGCAATAGAATTTGAGGAAGCGATTCTGCTATTGCACCTGATATGAGAGCGTCTCAAACTACAGTTTGGCGGGTTCTCCTTGACCAGCAACTACACCCATACCACCTTTTAAAAGCCCAAGCCATGGGTCCAGAAGACTATCTGCCGCGTCGACGTTTTTGTCGTTGGTGGCTGCAGCAGGAGTTGAGGCAACCAATCTTTGGTCGTTACGTTTTGTTCACTGACGAGTCCTGTTTTACAAAGGACGGTTATTTTAATAGCCGTAACAGTCACATTTGGGATGAAGGAGACCCTCATGCCATAGCCATCCATAGAGACCAACATCAGTTTTCAATTAACATCTGGTGGGGCATTGTGGACGAGCATATCATCGGGCCATATTTGCTTCCACCACGTTTGGATGGGCATGCTTATGGTCGATTCTTACAGCATGTGCTACCGGAACTATTAGAAAATGTGCCACTGAACATAAGAGCCAACATGTGGTTTCAACACGATGGCGCTCCAGCCCACTTTTCTTTACAAGTGCGGCAGTATTTGGACGACAAATTTCCAAATAGGTGGATAGGCCGAGGTGGCCCTGCGCCTTGGCCTGCGAGGTCACCCGACCTGACCCCACTGGATTATTTTCTCTGGGGCCATCTGAAAGCTTTAGTGTACGAAACTCCTGTTCCCAACCAACAAGAGCTACTGGGAAGAGTGATGGCCGCGTCCGCATATGTTCAGGACATACCGGGGGTATGCCACAGAGTTCGCCGATCATTGAACAATCGTGCACAGCTGTGTATTGAGCAAGGTGGAGGACACTTTGAGCAATTACTGTAGGTAAGGTGTTTCAAGAAACTGATCTTTTTTTTTGCTGCAACCCAAACGGCATATTTCCGAACAGGGGTTTATAAGGCAAAATTGTTCATTTTGATGCCCTCTACAACCCCTATCATTTTGTCGCAATAATTATGGAACACCCTGTATATGTTTTAAATTCGAACCTCGCCTTTGGGATCTCAGAAACGGTAAAACGAATGTCACACGATCAGTATTTATTTACTGAGGTTCGTATCATCAGTGGATTTCTGCGTAACATTATATACATCAAAAATTACTGGTATACAGAGGCTACACGTTCATTATATATATATATATATATATATATATATATATATATATATATATATATATATAATCTTGAGACGTGGTCATTGTCGTCTAGACCAGTTAGGTGAAAAATAAAGCTTCCGCCTTTAGTTGGGTACTTCGACAAAATTCAAGCAATGAGGACTCTTTATACTTCATTATTCCATTGAAAGCTAGAGACTAATACAGTATAAAGAGTTCTCATTGCTTGAATTTTGTCGAAGTACCCAACTAAAGGCGGAAGCTTTATTTTTCACCTATATATATATATATTACGTGAGCAGTAGTCATTGCCAAAGCCAACGACCAGTTGGGCACAAAATACAATTAATTGTGAATTGGGAAATTGGCAAATTTTTAGGCTTAAGTTGACTCTTTTGACGATAAAACCAAGCTTTCGGCATTCTCTATGGAGCCTTCATCAGGATTCTGAAAACACAATTGTGATGCTAGCAAAGAAAACAGGACAGATTTAAATTGTCAAACAACTTACTCGTCGTTGAGGTTGCAGCCACAAGGTGTTTCAAAACGAACGTAGAGAAGATAGAACTTGTAATAAGTATAAAAACAAAAGGACGGAGACATTGGGCTTGTTGATAACGACAGATACCTTCGTGACATGTTACATATTAAAAATTATTAAACATGAGAAGACAGGGCAACAATCCGAATGCAGTCTCTAACCTCCTACTTCCGCTACACGTGGAGAGGGGGACGGCATGGAAAGATAATGCGTCGACAGATGACAAGTGATATATACATCTTAGGAAAAACCATTGTTATACATGGGAAATCATTTCTTGGCAACAGCGCATCGGCTCGTCTACTTTCATCGCTATTCGTACATATTTCCTACCGTTAACCGCAGACCTGTATCATGAATGAGAATAATAGGCAGATACGCTGTGTTGCCAATTTGAGTAGAGCTTCCCGAATTGTGGGGAATTTAGAGTTAAGTGTTGATTCATTCAAGCTTTTAATCAGCATGGCCTAGACGTTAGAACTTCATAAAGATAACATTGAAGCTGAATGCTGCTGGAGTATAGTGTTTCGAATATTCAAAGCGGAGCGGGACACTATCCTCGTTCAATGGGTCATCAAGCCACAGTCTTTTCAACAAAGAAATTATTTTACGAAAATGCGTTATATTTTTACGATTTTGTCGTCACCAAATCTCTGTTTCTCAAAATGTACGTCTATTGTAGAATTTTCAGCAAACTAAGCAAGAAACGTGATCTAGTATTTACTCAACATCAGGTATTGCCAGATTCCCGAATACCGGGCACTATAGTAACCGTTATAGTTGTCCTTCAAAGTTGTCAAATCGCCCCTATGGCGCAAATTCGCCACACCAGGCAACTGTGCTATAAACAAACACTGTTCATCACTACTATTTGATAGTCATATGGTAGTTGTAGCCCTATCTAGCGGTCCATGATTTCTCTCAATACTGTTGTATCTCTACTGGCAACAAGAATAGGGATTACAAAATCATTTATACAACAATATACAAACATGAAAAATATGATTTGAACCATTAAACACTAATACAATTTTAATAGTTTGAACTTTTTTCATTTTTGGAATACTCTTATGTGGAATCCGCAGCTATTTTTCCCGAAATTTGGGGACTTAGATTTCTTAGAAATATGACATATTGGTATCGGCAACTCTGCGAATGGGGGAAACAAATCGCATTTGTTGAGCGCATCCGTCTAAGCGGTAGGCGCCAGCGCCCGTTCTGCCATCTCTCTTTTATCACTCTTCTACTTTACCCCGTTGTCCGTCACACTCCGACGCTGCCAGATAAGATCCTACAATCGAGTGTCTTTCACGCACCTACATACTTTTGTATATTTCCATCTCTCTTCCTCATCATAATGTATAATAATGGTTTTTCCCATACTGTATATATACCTATATATATATATATATATATATATATATATATATATATACATGTTACATTAAGTTATAATAAAACATAAGTGTTTAGTTTACTTTAATAGTTAAATAGAATCTTTAAATGAATAAAATGTTTCTCCTCTTTTGCTCGGTACAGGGTGACTTTGAAGTTGAGTTATTAATTTTCAGATAATGATTGTAGAAGGAAGATAAACCAAAATATGTGTGTAAAAATAAAAAAAATATTACCTTGTTTTATAAAGTATCCTCCCGACAAGTATTTCAGTGCGGACCTGTATTTGATCGTGGGGTCTTGGAGTACCCGCATGCCCTCCCTGTGAGGTCTTAAGTCACCTGATTCACGAGCCCTTTGTACTACATTAACAAAGGCACGAGGGGTTGGTTACACTCGATTGGGAAACCGATCCGCATAAATCCGTGATGCCGCGGCAGCATTTTTTAAAGTCTCCCCCCCGTAAATAAGAATCATGTCCACAAGTTCAGCATTTTCGTAAACATGTGCCATTTTTTATTTCGTTTGAGCCACGCAACAAGCACCACTATTCACTCACGCGTTACCGACTGACACATTGACTGAATACAACTGAATAAAATTGTAGTAAAAACATCGTGATAAGCGTTTCAAATTTTTTCGCTTTTTTGTTTCTTTGTTACTTGATTTTACCAGAAAAATGTTAAAGGAAAAAAACATTTTTTTGATCAGATCTACTCACTGTTAAAATAAATGACTCAACTTCGAAGTCACCCTGTATATATTAATGCGATTTACTCCGCCGAAATGACGGACAGTAGTTTCATAGCTGACTGTTAGCTATAATAAACTTTGATCGCAGTTCACATACAACTGACAAATTTGCTAACAACCGTATGAGTATTCTGCACCGGTTTTGGCGATGACGGCCTCATATACGCCACTGGGATTTCAATAAAACGGCATTGCTTTTGCTCATTAAACGGTTTTGATAAAATTAGTGTCTGTTAGAATAAAAAAAAGATTAATACAGGTATGTTAGGAATGATTACGCATTAGGCCAAAGAACGGCGGCAACGCTGTCTCCTTCTCAGGTGAAGCGCCGGTTTCGACCGAGCTGCTGTTGCACAGCGTGCTCGATATCGCGCGTTGCCCGTTTTTAGACCTCGCGTTAAGTAATCATTGAATACACAACCTGTATACTATTATCATTATTATAAAAACACAACCTGCTTCTTACGAATATATTCATTGAATACAAAACAAACATTACACAAAAATACTGTTCATAAAACAGTTATAACGAAGAACACAAATGTTTTATTGAAAACAAAAACGATTATTTGCCTACAAGGCCTTGTCATAAATCATCCTACATTTTAAAAATTATAGCAGCATCATATAATAAAACATTAAAAGATTCACAAAAAAAAACAGACAATTCCACTCCTTTGAAATAAGTAAAGGTACCAATATAGTTTGCTAAAAATATCCTTGCATAACGACAAGGGAAAAACGTCTTAGCGACTGCAGTGTCCGGCTATAAAATGACAACCTCTAACTTCTTTGTATGCCGATTTAGAAGAAACAGTTTCAGACAAAAGTTTTGGGGACTATTATAAAGTGTTTTATGCGTTGTCTTTTTTATATACAGGTTGTTTCAATCAAAAGCTACTGAATGAAGCTTTATCATTTTTTTAAATGGAGCAACCAGTATATTTTTTGCGGAGATGATAGTGACTTTTTTCTAAATATATATGTGGTCTAATATAATTATTTTCAATAATTTAGGCAAAAACTGTATGTGTCCCTATTATTCATTTGTATCAAGATTGTTGTGCTTGACATCTCGGAATCTTAAAATGTTCGACCACGAAAGGTCAAAATGGTTTGATCAGGAGAGGAGAAGTTCGAGATAGTAACATTGCCTATGAAAAATAATAAAAATACAAGAGCTGCAAGGAAAGAATTCGTCCGTATCCATGGTGGTAGACAAGCACTGCCTAAAAATACGTTCATGAACTTATAAATGTTTCAGATATTTCAAACACTATTATTTTGGACTTCCATTAATAGTAAAAGTACCTGAAGCACTCAAAACATGACCACCCCATAACCGAGATACCTAGAGTAAATAAAATTCAAAATAAATAAATAATACTGATAGTGGATGTGTACGAAGCCCTTCTTAAAAACAAAGTGCTTTCCATTTAGAGATATCAAAATATTTTTATACTATATACAGGGTTTGTCCGGAAAGTAATGAGCTTCATTTATTTGTGACGGGACTAGGCAACGTGCCGCGACGCGACCAGTATGGAAGGGTGGTGGGAACGTACAGGGCCGTATGCTTCGCTGTTCGATTTTCGTCCGCCGGCTGGCATGACGTCACGCGGAGAGTGATTATCATTTGGGTTGATATGGATAACTTGCATATTTTCACCTACAGGACAAACGGCTGGACGGATTTTCACACCCTTGACCTGAAAAACAGTTTTTAATCTTTTTCAGGGCAGTCAATGTTGCTGCTCTTCAACAGAAGTTCACCTATAAAATCTTGCTTTTTTGTCACTATTTCGTCCCCATTGAATGTAGCGACTACCTTGTTCAGCTTCTCAATTTGATTCATGAAAGTTGCGGAAGGTTTTGATAATCCACCCTCACTAAGATGGTCTATCCACGAATAAGTTTCATTTGAGGAACTTTTCAACCTCTCATCCTGCAATTTATTGTAAACAAAACCGGCCAAATTTTCCAGCCCGTCATACTCGAGCTCATCTATTTCTTCCACTAAAACTTGCTCGGTATAGTCAGCTGATACTTCGCGTGCATTCAGTTTATTCTCGTTAATGATGCGGTTAGTGGTTAGTGGAATGTCTGGAGTATCCTCTATCTATGACTCTACGCTGCAATAGGTACTCTGAGTATGCACCTTCGTTTCGTCCCAACATATATGACCTTATTCTATACTTAAACTCTAGAGGACTTGTATGGTCATGAAGACCATCTTTTGTCCTAATTACTCCGAAAAAGTTTTCTATCACATCTTGATTAAGACGTCATGTTAACAGGTATTGGACGCTGAAGCGTCGGTTCAGATCCTCTAAAGCATTTTCTAGCAAACCCTAGCGCTTTTTACATTGACTTTGTCTTATCTTTTTGTGAGATGTAGCCATTTTTTTACTAAAGTTTGGGTCTTGAGGAAAACTGTGGAACTTCGTGTCTTTGCAAAGATTCCGTTTTGACTGATTGTCGGAATTACATCCCACAACAGCACACCGCATTTTTATCAATTTATCAACCACACAGGGTATAGAAGGTATGTATAACTAATACAACAAGTCACAAAACCACCAAAAAACAACAACAAATCGCACTATATAGTATTAATCACGATACACGTGAACTGCAGTAACGTTACGACAATCCTGCCGCTGGTAACCACGAGCCGATAACTCTCCGGGTGACGTCACGAAGCTCCGCCCACATGCGCAATATCCTATCTTCAGTGTATGTGTATCGTTGTTGGGAACCTTCAGCGGTACACTTGTCAGTTGCTTCCAAGCTGTTGGAGGGTGCGTACGCTGCTTTTTGTGAGCCCTTGTTTTGCGACATCGTCAAAGTTACGATGGAAAAAACTTTAGAGCAAAGATAAGCGAGTTAACTAAACAAAACATCGAAGGAGACATCGGATTTGCTGCAAACCGCGTTTGGGGATGCCTGCCTGTCATATACACAAGTAAAAGTGGCACAAGTCGTTCCGGGAAGGGCGGGAGGAGGTCGATGACGAAACGCGTTCAGCACGTCCATCGATATCGCGGACAGAGGACAATGTGACCCGTGTGGGATAAATTCTCAGCACAGACCGTCGATTGAGTGTCCGCTTGATTGCTGACCTTTTGCACTTGCCAAAGACCAACTATTCACGAAATTGTGTCGGAAGACTTAGCCAGGCGTAAAATTTGTGCCCAGACTTTTGACCGACGTTCAAAAATTACCGTCGTGTGGCTGTGTGTGAGGAACTGAAACAGCTGTGAGCGGATGATCCAAACTTACTAGACGAGTACGACCCGGAGACAAAGAGGCAGAGTGCGGAATGGCACACGTCCGCGTCGCGGCGCCCAAAAAAAGCTCGAATGAGCAAGTCCAAGGTGAAATCCATGGACATTATCTTCTTCGATGCTAAGGAAATCGAGCACCACGAGTTTGTACCCCCTGGCCAGACCGTCAATGCTCAATTTTACAACGAAGTTCTTCAAAGACCGAACCACAGGGTCGCCCGCATCCGAAGAGAAATTCGGTCGTCATGGAAACTGCACCACGACAACGCACCGTCCCATACGCCTTTGTCAGCCACAATACAGTAACGATCTGGCCCCAGCGGACTTCTTTTTGTTTCCTCGACTAAGTTCCAGGGAGCTCCTTACTTTCCGGACAAACTCTGTAGGGCTACTCCCAATGCGATATCCATATTGAAAAGAACAAAAACTATCTATAAACATAATACGTACAGAGATACAGGGTGGCGAAGCTGTATCTTATAAAATTAGTCAGTGATTGGTACGAAAAAATGTGTGTGAATATCACTTATGCTGACCTCACTACAATTCCGCAAACCAAATTTCATAAAAGCAACTTCGCTGTTTTACATATTGGCAATACACATTACGAGTACTATTTACTACATGATTGTATTTTCAAAGACCCCACATACATTTTATTTTGCTCGCTCGATTGACGATCCATAAACGTCCATTAGGCCTAGACCTAGAACCTCAGTTTTCAGTCAGAAATGGTTATCGAAGTTAAAAATGTCGTATCTTAATATAACCATGCAAATAATATCTCCAGTTAGTATTTTAAACAGGAAACTATTGGGACTAGTTTGTATAAAAAGTGTTGGACTCACCTCTAGGTAAAATTTTGAATGGCATTATTCCAATGATTTTTAACGTTAGCATTAAAAAAAAATCGTAGAAAGCTATGCGGCATTTTCTGTTAATCAAGGGTTCAAAAATATCAGAAATGTATGTTGAAGTTTACTTTGACCGGACTTTCACTGTTATTTTGACAGCAACCGCCTTCCGCGGTCTTATTAGCGAGCAGGCTATAAATTCCTGGACAGGAAATGACAAGCAAGTAGAAGCGCCTATCGAGTACTCCTGATCACTTAGACGTAGAGTAAATGAGGTTTGAATAAAGTAGAGCTCTAATGGTCTTTGGTTTAAATATTAGTATATTTTCTTTTTATATAGCTATATACAAACATTGGTATTTTGAAGTTCGACTCACCACTTCTGCCTGAAAACCGAGTTACCAGAGCTAGGTCCGATGTACTATTTTTATCATCATGGTATCAACTATCGCTTCGGTAGGTACTCAGTTAATTCCAGTGAAAGTGTTTTCTCACTGTTTAGGTGCGGGGTCTGTTCATTCACTGCAACCCTATTCAGAGGTCATAACCTTAGGCTAATATTGAGTCATGACGTTTTCATTGATTACTTTAATATTCAAAGATAATCAGTAGTTTCACTTCAATCAAAACATCGTGATTCAAAAGGCAAAGAAACTGAAAATGCGAAATGTAGCATCATAAACAATGAAGCGATAGAATTGTGAAATCCATAACTGTTTTTCATTTTCACAAGATATATTTCATGATTCTAAATGATATCTCATATACAACAATCAATACGTATGTGAAACATAACATTCAGTAGCAGTTCCATCATAACTCACTCATTTGTTGAGATATAAAGAAGTTTGAGTAGGACTTAGAAACTTTTTAAAAATGTAATTTTTTTGTGAAAAAATTGTAAGTATCGTATAACTTAATTTTTAAGCTAACGAAGATATGTGGAAACACGAAAGAGAAGGGGTTGTTTTTCCATTTTTTGTTTTTTTTTGAAAAATATGTTATTTTCGGCAATATTTTATCAAAAAATGTTTCCTAAAAAATTGAAGAACACCCTTTCTTATTACCATGTCTTTCGTATTTCGGAAATTCATAAGAAAAAATTCGCATAAAAATGGGTTATGATGAAAGTATGTATGTATGTTTTGTAGTGGGGTGGCATAAATACCTGTCTTAAGATTAAAATTCGTTTGACCAGTTATAAGTAAAAAACATAATTGGTGAACATTCTTATGAATATCCAAAATTATCAAAGTTTTCCCCTGATTCTTGTTTCTTTAATACGATTCGTTGATGCGTCAATACTGTCACCATCTTTTGTAGTTCAAGTTGGGCATCCACTATTAGGTAGTTATTTCAAATGACGTTCAGTGATCTATTTTTTAACTGTATTTCTTCATTTGAATCTTCGATTTTGGTTAGGTCTGTAGTATCATTTGTAACTTCTGTTTTGACTCCACCTTTTAAAACACCTTCTATGGTCTTAACATCAGTAGATACATCTAACGTTTCGCTGAGAGATTCAGTCTCCAAATCTTTTGTTTCTACCGTTTCAAATATCTGAGGTCTTGAAAAGTAACCAGGAATAATCTTTTCATCATGATCAAGCGAAGCTCTACTTCTTCGTTTTTCAATTTCCGCTGATTGAATTTCATCACAAACCACAGATTTCGTCGTATCTGTTAGAGCTGCTTTCAAATAGCTGTTGGAAGTAACTTGTTCAGAATCATCTTCTTCCTTAAACTGTTCTTCAGTTGTATTCTTTGTAGCAGTTGTATCACTGGCTGCGGTTGTATTTACTGACTGAACTGGGACTTCTTTTTGTTCTGCTGGTTGATCAATATCTTCATTTCCAACAGTTTCGATATTCCTATCATCACCGTGATCCAGTATATTTGCTCTCAACCGTTTCTTCGTATCTTCCTTTGTAGTATGACTCAACGCCCTGGTGCCTGATTGGTCTCCTGGCATAGCTGTCTGAGCTATGACTTCGTTTTGTTTTGCTGTTTGATGAATACCTTCATTTTCGACTGTTTTGATATTATCCCTGTTATCCAAGAAATCCAACACATTTGGTGGCATTCTTCTACCACTATCACTACCTGTAGTCGTGTTTACTGTCTGAGGTGCGACTTCTTTTTGTTCTGCTGGTTGATCAAGATCTTCATTTTCAAAAGTTCCGATATTCCTATCATCCCCGTAATCCAGAATATTTGCTATCGACCTTATCTCCGTATTTTCCTTTGTAGTATGACTCAATGCTTTGGTGCCTGATTGGTCTCCTGGCCTGGCTTCAGGGTCACATGTTTCGTTTGAACTCGCCACATCCGTTTCCGTAATTTCTCCAGCTGCAGTTGTCACAGAGCTACACAAACATCCAGGCAACACATCTTTCAAGGGCGTCCCTGGAAATGTTCTAAGAATCGGCTGAAAAGGTTGAAAATCATTATCGCTATTTGCAGATGTGTTTGGTGTCTGAGTTGAGACTTCTTTTTGTTGGGCTGTTGGATAAAGACCTTCATTTTCAACTGTTTTAATATCCCTATTATACATGTAATGCAATACATTTGCTGGCCTTGTTTCCTTATCCCCAGTTGAAGTTTTAAAACCACTGTTATCCCACTCATCTTCCTCATTTGGAGGCAATCTTCTTCCACTATCACTAGCTGTGGTTGTGTTAATTGTCTGAGGTGTGACTTCTTTTTGTTCTGCTGATTGAACTTCACTAACGTCTTGTACCTCTGACAGTTCTCTGGTTAACTCGCAAAATTCTTTCGATGCAGGAACAAGGGCAGTTGTATCCTCAACTGCAGGTGTAGCCTCTTCCTCACGTTCGTTAAGATCACAATATAATTCACTGTGCTTGATTATACTCTCACTACAGATTTTCGCGCTTTCACTATTCTGTGTATCTAGAAATGCTTCACGGTCCGATAGTATTTCCGAGCATGCACTTGTCACAATTTTCTTTTCCGCCGCTTCCCCACTTCCAGGCGTCTCAGATGCTGACCGAGGGGCAGGCCAAATCCTTTCATCGCAGTTTAATGCTAATTTTCGATTGTCTATTGATTGAATTTTGCCAGTATCACTGAAATCAACTTTACATGGTTCTTTGGACGTCTCAAGATTATTTGACTCTGTTAAAAGGTTTGCAGTTGAGGCTAAGCTGCGATTTCTGATCTTCTCTTCAGAATCTTCTACATTTGTTTGTATATCAGAAATCGCATCGACAGTAAGGTCATCTGTTTTTGTTTCTATGTCTGGATTCGTTTGAGTATCCAAATATTCTGTTTGCTCATCCATGTCAAGACATGATGGTCTTTCAGGAGTCATTTGTTTTGCGCTATCAGTATCTAGAATAGTCTCGTCAGGAAGTATCTTTTTGCTAGTTTCTTCCGCTATTTCGTTTGATGAGTTGGAAATAGTGCCATCTTGTCGTTGCTCGATTGCTGATGATGTATCCCCAAGTTCTTCCATTAGATCATGCATCAGAAGATTTGCGATATCTAGACCGTCGAAATACAAGCGGACAGTGTTTTCTTGCAAGAATTCCACTTCAAGTACTCCTACAATAAATAGAAAAGTCTAGGTGTAGATGATTGTTAGTAGAAATGGGTTAATAATGCAGAAAATGAATTGTGTGAAAACTATGAGTGCAAAATGGCAAATTTAAACATATACATGCGAGTGTCTTGTAAGTGCAAATTCAAAACAAAAGCAAAATATGAAAAAAACGTGCTTTTCGAAAGGCCTCTGACCACCTTATTTTTAGAAAGGATCTAGTTAACAAGCTGAAATTCTGGGCAACGAAATTGATGAATACTATGTTTCAACGCAAAAGTAATAATTGAAAGTTTCAAAATGGCGGACGGGCTCGAACTTGGAACATTTTTTCAAATGGAAAATCACGTGACACCTTATTTTGGCACTCCTTATCGCTACTTTAACACTCTAGAGTATAAATTTATTATCTTTCAATATGACAGGCAGGCGAGCTGTCAAGTTTGAGCATTTTTAAACATTGAATCGCTTATAACTCATCACCTTATCATCAACATGCTATAGCCCCTTATATAAATCTAGGATAAATTTGAATGTGTAATACATGACATGTTGCTCTAAAAGATTGACATATTATGACAATATTTTAAGATGGAATGGTACACTTTTTATTTCATATTCGGATTGAACCTGCTGAGAGAAGATTGATACAAGAGACTATAGATATTTGATGATTAGTTGTAGAGTTATAACAATCCAATGTACAAAAACGGTCAAGTTTGACGTTTTGAAACAACTGCCATTTTTACGTATAGTAGCATGAGATCCGACATCTTGAATCTGCAGGTATCTGTTTTTTTGATAAAATTCTATTTTTATGAACGATAAATAATAATAGATTACAGCAGGGTTGCCTGACAAAACTTAGCCGCAATTATTGTATTTAAATACAAGGTGACTTTTTAGTGTCGGCTCGGTCGATAACTCTGTTATTGCCTATGGTATCCAAAAATAATTACAAAAATTGTAGCGAACAGCATGCTCCTTATTTGGAAAAAAAACATCTCTAGAGGGTGATTCATAACCATGCGGTGATCTAAGCATGCATTTTTTAAATGGAAAGCATTACATTTTATTGCAGAGTATTTCCAAATTGCTGACAATCATCTCATAAAACACTGAACTTTGACAACTTGCACCTCCGCAACTATTGTAGCTAGAGTACTAAATTTTTCATTTTAAAAATTTTTTATGATCCCATATTTGATCCCTATGTACTCAGCTTTTCAGTTTATTGGTTTGTTTACACAGGGCAGTCAAGAAGCCAAAATTAGCTATTTCTCAAATTTTTAAAATGTAACACATAGTATATTTTCAGATTTTTTGATTTCCCTTTTCATAAGTTTTTTCTGAATATAAGGTTTATGGAGGTCTGTATTACTGTTTTTTTGAGTTGCTAAAAACATAGGGACGCCTTTTTAGTTTTCGACTTTATTGCATAAGGCTAGGTATATTTAATTTACGAGTATAATGAAAATACGCCAATTCTAACAATCTGGCGTTACCGACTAAATGCTTATTTTTTAGTTTGAAAGGTATTGTAATATTGTTCATTCTGATTTACAAACAGGTTAACTGTAATCCAAAAACCGGGCGTACAAAATTCCAAAAGCCTTATAAAAAAGCTTGTGGAATGGAGAAGTAGGGAATTTGAAAATTCACAGGAAGTTACATTAAAAATTTTTAAGAAGTAGTTTATTTTGCGTTCTTGTCAAAAAAACTGAAAAAGTAAGTCTTTTTTTTTAACGAAAAATTCAGTGTTTTATTTGATAGATTGTCAAATATCTTAACAATTTGGAAATAGAACGCAATAGTATGTTATATCAAAATACTTCATATGAAAGGGAGTATCCCAATGTGCAATAAAATGAAATGCTTTCCATTTCAAAAAATGCATGTTTAGGTTACCGTAGAGTTATGAATGACCTTGGAGAGATAAAAATATTTTCCAAGGAGATACTATGCGCAATAACATTATCGACCACACCAAAAACTCACCCTACATATGTAATTACAGGTAATTGCAGCTAAATATTGGTAGGCAATCCCGCTGAAATCTATTATACTCTTATTTATCATATTTTAAAAATCAAATTTTATAAAAAAAATACATACTGATTCAAGCGGTCGGATCTTAAGACTATCCATATATGAATTCTATCATCCCCAATTTCAGCTTGCTAAGTGCCGCGTTCCAAAAATAAGGGGAACCTTTCTGAAAACTAACTTTTAATGTACCCAACTGTTAAAAATAAAATGACGAAAGTAGTGGTGACTGAAAACTATCTGGATAGCTAAATATTGATTATAAAAATTTTAAACGTCAAAAAAAGTGTAGTACCAAAAGCATTTATGAAAACCCAAGAAGAACACCACTGCGTGTGGTGATTCACATGACGTTATCTAGCAATGAACTGATGGAATTTAGTAAGGCAACTTTGTTTTTACATCCTTCACCACCACATGCACATATAGTTAGTTTTTTCTAAACACACATACACAAATTTACCTGTTAAAAGACTTCACGAACGGTTGTCCGAATTCCACATTGCACAAAAACAAAAATGTAGTCTCATTATTTTATTATGTATTACTCAATAATTACAACAGAATAAAAAAAAATTATGTGTCTTTAGTTATCTATAAACTCAACATCTATACCCATAACGTTCTCCAATCAACTGCATATCAGAATAAAAACAACAAAATATTAATAGATAAAAACGTCTTTATTACTAGAATTTAGACACAGCAATAAAATTAGCAAGTGAATAGTGTAATATTACAGTTGGTATTCAATGTGTGCAAGCTATAAACGGCAAATTGTATCAAATATGATTAAGCTACGATTATATCGAAATAACATGTAAAGGATATCAATTCTAAATCCCGAATCTTACGTAATAATAATGTTTATAAATAATAACGGCAATGTCCAATAAACATAATATACCCAAAAATACCCACTTGTGCTTGGGTTTAAACCGAAGTTGAGTTATATTAATACAACAAATTTTCTTTAAGTATACTAGTCAAATGTATAAATTTGCATCATTTTATGATCAAATAACATATAGGTTGTTAGTGTCAACAAACTTATGGATTTGTAGCCTTGGATGATTTAGGATCCATGATTTTAATTCAATTTTTAACCGCTTTATACAGTTTATATGTTTAAGGTTTGCAGGAATAACATTATAAATTTTTGAGCATAGAAAATAGAATGATCTTTGGCTGATAGTTTTATTAAGTCTAGGAATTAGTGCAGAGGTTTCCTTGAATCGCATTTGATGGTTGTGGCTGATAGAAAGTAACAATTTTGGATTTTTTGTTAAATATACTATTGTAAGATAAAAATAAATTTGTCGGCAGTCGAAAAGCTGAGATTCATTGTAAAGATTTTCTGAGGGATAACGTTTCTTTTTGTTCAACTTTCAAAATCCACTTCTGCGTAATTTCAATCTTTTTATAATAGTTATTCATGACTCCCCCCATGCTAAGATTCCGTAGAGAGTAATGATTGAACAAGGGCATGATATATCATGTGTAGAAAACTGCTGAAATATTTGATTTTCGAAATAAGGTATCTTAATATTTTTACTAAATTTTCAATATGTTTATTCCATCTTAGATGGTTATCTATGAATACCTCTAGGTATTTGAAATTATCAACCGATTGTATGTTTCTACAGCTGTTCAACGTTTTAATTTGGAGTTGATTAAAATTTGGGGAAGATAAAACAAACCTAACTTGGTGAAGTTGAAAAACGGTTTATGCTGACAGTTCTGTTTTTTCCTTCTCAACCATTTCAAAATAAATATAAACTATTTATTCAGGATCTATTTTAGAAAAAAAAACTAATTAGAAAAAGATACTAAAGGGTGATCCATCTGTTGGTTAATTTTTAAATCGATGGTTAAAATGGAAACGCAATCCTTTTTCCAAACGGGTTTTTTATTTGGGAGTACTATCCTTCCGGTTAATGATGAAACACAATCTCATTCATATGCGCGCCACGGCTGAGCTTTACGTAACCGATTCTGTCGACCCGATTTTCCAGTACATTTTACAAAGTCTGCGGCATTATCTCACCAATGGCTGCATGGATGTTGGTCTTCAAGTCCTTAGTCGCCGCTGGGGTATCCGCATAACATTTATCTTTTACGCTTCCCCACAAAAATAATTCGACGGAAATAAATCGCAGCTTCGCGGTGGGTAAGTCACATCACCAAAACGCCTGATTACGCGATTTTGAAGTGTTCTTGAAGAATAGCGATTGTTTTGCGGCTTGTGTGGCAGGTCGCGCCGTCTTGCTGGAACCACACGCCAACCAAGTCTTTTTATCGGTTTCCAGAAAGAAATAGTCAGTCAGCATGTTCCGATGGCGCACACGAATGACCGTGACGGCGCGTCCTTCGTCATCTCAAGAAAAAAGGGCCAATAATGCCACCAAACCACACCAAACAGTCAGTTTTAGGTAATTTCATTTGGCCATTCTGAGCACCAAATATGGCAATTTTGCTTATTGACGTAGCCACCAAGATGACAATGGGACTCATCCGAAAAAATGATTTTTCGGTAAAGATGGGAGTCCTCGTCCAAGCGTCAAATTTTGAGTGCTTACCAACGTTGTTCAAGCGCATATCAATCCATATTCGTTCACCGCAGACTCTTGTAAGTGTTGCCAACCGTGAGATAAGCCCTAGTTCACAAATTAACCAACAGATGGAATCACCCTTTACATTATACCTATGAAACTAGAAGCAGTATATATTTTCATTTGTAAAATTAGAGTAGTAGCATAACTAGAAAATCTGCATTTCAAAAGGGAGTATTCGAATTTATTAAATTTAATTGAGATATTAAAGGGTTCGAATTTAAAAATGTTTAAGGTGAAATTAAAAAATCACTTTATGAATATCCAGAATGCATAGCGATGTAATTTTAACAGACAAGAATGTAAAAGGACAGAAACTTGATTTTAAAATCTGTAAAAGGATAATTATACAAATAAGACCGCATCGATTCAGTTTTCAAACTAGATATAAGATACTCAGAGCATGAATTCAAAGTTGCGAAAACATCACACATATAGAATAGTCTGATAATATTACAACAATGTATGTATGTAACAAGTACACACGCATATTATATACACTTGATTGAAGATAACACGATAACATACCATCAATTATCATAAATAAAAAAGTTAAATACCTTCTTCACAATATTCTTTGAATATCTCGGAAGCATACTCTTCCTTCAGAAGTGATCCTTCAGGCTTTTCCAGTTTATAAGTCTCATTAGGAGTCTCTCCGTCTATTTCAATCCGGAAATTGTTGAGGCCTTTAATATCCTTAACATGCCCCTTCACCAGTTCTTTGGGCGTTTCATTTTTTGAGACACCACCCTCCACTGGTTTCTCAGGTGTCTCAGTATCAGTCTCACTCAGGTCATTAGATTTTTCAGATGCCTTGGAATGAGATTTACCCGATCCATTGGACGTCTCGGGTGCCTCAGTATCAGTGCCTAAATGATTGGCTTTGGCAGATACCTCAATTTGAGCCTCACTTAGCTCATTAGGTTTCTCAAGCGCCATATCTGCCTCTACTTCTGTAGTCTCTGATACATCGCTTTGAGCCTCACTTAGCTCATTAGGTTTCCCAGGCGCCATATCTGCCTCTACTTCTGTAGTCTCTGATACCTCGCTTAGAGCCTCACTTAGCTCATTAGGTTTCTCAGGCGCCATATCTGCCTCTACTTCTGTAGTCTCTGATACCTCGCTTTGAGCCTCACTTAGCTCATTAGGTTTCTCAAGCGCCATATCTGCCTCTACTTCTGTTGTCTCTGATACCTCGCTTTGAGCCTCACTTAGCTCATTAGGTTTCTCAAGCGCCATATCTGCTTCTACTTCTGTAGTCTCTGATACCTCTCTTTGAGCCACACTTAGCTCATTAGGTTTCTCAGGCGCCATATCTTCCTCTACTTCTGTGGTCTCTGATACTTCAGGTTGAGCTTTACTTGGCTCGCTGAATTTTTCAGACGCCTCGGCATCAGCTTCCACTATCCCACTGCGCTTCTCAGAAGCCTTATCAGCCCCTAACTCACTGACATTTTCAGGTATGCCAGTATAAGCCTCACTTGGCTCACTGGATTCCACAGTAGATTTAATATCAGCGTCTAGTTCGTTAGCTGTTTCAGAAACCTCAGTATGGGTTTCAGTTAGTTTACTGGGCTTCTCAGGCGCTTCAGTATGGAGCTCATTTGCTTCCGCAGAAACATGAGACTCCACAACTCCATCCTTAGGCTCCTCTGTATCTTGTCCATCCGATTTGGACAACGGTTCCATGTCAATGTTATTCTCATTATAATTTTTGGGTTTATCTGGCGATTCAGTGTCAACTTTGTCTTCGGCGGACTTCTCTACTGATAACATTTCATCAGTTTCCTTAGTGGTGGCTGCTTCTTTTACTGGGCTTGCTGCGGATACTTTCTGTGGTGATTTAGGAGGCACCAAGTCGCATTTGATGTCCCTTCCGTTCAGGTATAAGCAGACGGTGTTGTCTGGTAGAAATTCTATTTGGAAGGTAGTGATACCTACAGCATATGCAAAAAAGGATAAATGTAAATTGTTTTGGCTCAAATACATACGACCTTCATAAAGGTAAAGAAAATATGTGATGGAATATGTTTTAGAGTGACCCGTAATTTACCCGCCAAAAAAAAATGAGATATCGTGATAATTTTCAAAATTGTTTTTCTTTATATCTCGAACTGTTTTTGTGGCTTCAACATGAAAATAGGAATCAGGGGTTTCTGAAGATGAGGCATACGATTATATTGAATTTTCAACATAGTAAATAGAGGGCGCATATAATCTTATTCCTCATGCTCATCCCCGATACCCAATTTCCATGTTTATATCACAAAAACAACTTTAGTATGGAGAGAAAAAAAAAAAGGCTCAATATCATTATTTTCACGAGTTTAATCTAGAATTTTTTTGTGACGCATGCATTACGGACCGCCCTGTATTTACAAAAATCGTCACACAGTTAAATCTGTTACGTGTTTGGATTGTTCTGTAGTTTTATTTTTTTATGATTTTGCTGTATACATTTTACATGCATTTCTTAGTAAAGTCAAAGAATTAGGTAATGAACAATTTTTATATGAAATGTGAAGGAAATTCGCAGGAATTTATATATACCTCATTTAATTAGTAGTTGGTAAAACAAGTCAAGCATTGATTAAGCAAATTTAAGGCAACATGTATTATGACTACACTAGACACAAAAACAAACGATTCACAAAATAAAAGCCTAGCATTAGCAATAACAAAATTTATTCTAAACATTTGCAATACAATAAATAAATATTTAATAGTGACAATTTTCTGTTCAACAGAAAAAAACAACATCTAAAACCAAAGACAAAAAAAAAAACAAATAGAATTAAGGCAAGGAATGCACCGAATGTATGATTTTCCTTAATCTTTTCTAAAAAAAATTCATAAATTGTAACTTTGATTAACCCAATTAATGAGGATTAGTGCGCATGAAACCTGTGCTCAAATAAAATTCTAGTTACCTTCTTTGTTAATATATTTGAACTTTTCCAGTGAATCCTCACTCCAGCTAGCGCCACTCACTTCCTCAAGCCTATAGGTTTCTGGAAGCACTTCACCGTTCTTTTCAATATGGAAGTTGTCCAGGCTCACAAAGTCTTTTACATTACCAGTTTCAGTCTCTGGTAGCAGCAAAGACGATACGTCTTTACCATCTAGGAAAAGTTCCACAATTGACGTTTCACCGGTACTCAATTTTTTGACAGTGAATATTGCTTGACCTGGGAACAAATCAAGTATTAGGCATCTTACTAAAGTCATATTTCTAACTAACTTTAACTTCTATAGCATTGGAATGAAGCACGAAAATCGTGGAAAGAGCCAGAGGTCCACAGCAAAAATGGATCTTTTTATCTGCTCAAACTGCGTAAGAATGTTCGTCACGCTATTATGTAAAAAACCTATAAAACGTCAAAACAGCAATAAAACGTCATCTTGCAGACTAGGTAGTTTTTAAGGTGTAAATAGTTCATTCCACGTTTGCTCGCTATAATCGCTGTGAGCGTCCATCTATGGAGGAATGACTCAACTACACGCATGGTTGGTTGCAGATAAGATGTGAAAGAAAGACAGTTGGTTGAGTAGCAAGATCGCATCTGAATGATTATGTGTATTGGTCCGCATAAAGTGATATTTGCTATGTGAGAAAATTATTACTGAATATGCTGCCAATGAAGTATATCTATTAGCTGTGCCCGACGGGTTATTTATATGTTGTCCTTTCTGAAGACAGGTTATGTTCAAAGTTATAAATTACGACTTTTCCCGCTTTTTGTGTTTTCAAAAACTTTGAGGAGCATTACGGGAAATCGTCACCGCGCCCGCAATTAAGTCACATCACAGAAACATTAGAAATGACGCATCACACTCCAAACATTTTCGCAGTGCCTCACATCTAGGCGCTAATATTGACATAGCAAAATAAATGTCTATAAAATTTAAATGACTGGAAATAAAAAATAGTGTAATAACATTTTCACTTTCATAAATATTCCTGTGTGTAACATATTTTCTCACCCGTTACTTCGCCAACCAGGTATTTTTTTTTCTCATCTCTCTCAATTTTGAAATTCAGCAAATTGCATATGTAATTTCCAAAATGAATAAGAAAAAGTGGATGCACAACTAATTTCTAGCTTTGTATCTCAATTAAGTGTATTTGAGTCAAGACACCAATGGAATTATCATCGACACATATTTTTAGCATACAAATCCTCTCTATGCACCTATGCGCTACCGTTTCCTTCTAGCTTTGGTATACAACCTACAGCTTAGACCTCCAATATTGCCATCTCTGAAGCAGATTTTATATCACATCACATTGATAACTGAAGCATCATGAGGTTAAGGCATCACGTAGAACTACAAAACAAGTTCACAAGTGTCCATCAGTTAGTGCTAAGTTAACATCTTGAAGAAAAACCTACGTTATGTTAAAAAGAAACCTACAAAATGTCAAAAAAAAAAACGAAATAATGATACGTAATACCCGTGCCGGTCATGGACCCAATAAAAAATTTGAAACACAAAAATACTCATCAAGTACCATTATTGAGTACCTCCAAAAAGAGGCATAACAAAATTCAAAATTGCTGAGCCACAAAAAATATTCTTTGTTGTTCTTGAGGCTCTAGAGTCTTAATTGACCTAGCAAGCAACACCATCACTTACTACATGGAAATAAATTTACCTTCTGCGGATATCTCTGCGAACTTAGCCGTCATCCTCTTTGACCACTGTTGGAGTCCCTCAGGTTTCTTTAGGGCGCACTTTTGTGCCAGTGGAGGCGTCATCGAGAGTTCTTCGGGTAATTTCCTCAATGCAGTACCGTCGCTGGCGCATGAATTTCCGTAATCTATGAACAACAGTTCAACTCCCGCCACTGTGTTGGAAAGTACTCTGGCTCGGTACCACATCATGTCGTCGGGAAAGAGCGCAGCGCATAAAGTACCTACATGCAGAACGTTACCTATTAAAACCGCAACTATAATTATCGCCAACCATAATTTGGAAAGTTGGCCAAGTTACGCGTTTTTTCTCATTTAGCCGTCATATCTAATGTATAGAGGTCTCTGTGTTTATTATAGCCCTGCTCGTACAGCAGACACCAACCTGTCAGTCACCGTGTCCAAGATCCCGTCATACAAATTCCGTTCACCCTGCTACGCTATATAGACGGAATTCACACGTCCGTATCCCAGACACAGTCACAGACCACTGTACAAACCTAATAATTGTGTTTCTAAGGGTTATAATGTATGCCTTTTGTTGTTCTCTCTTTTCATAAATGACATATCTCAATAAGTTACTTGTAATCCTTTGTTCTGTGCTGATGATTTGCAAATCTTGAATGTTAACAACCTCCATGAATGCCTCTTATTGCAGCAAACTGAATTATGTGTATGACACGTGTCAATAAGCTTAACTTAAATGTTTAATAACGTTATGTTTGTCATTCACTAGAGATAGAAATATAATCCGTTTTGTATGCAAAATTAATGTAGTCTCTAGCCAAAGACCATACATGGTTTGACATAAGTCTCAGCTTGAAGGAGCAAAAACTGAATGAAGCTGCAAGAATGTACGGATTCATAGTAAGAAATTACAAATTATTGACCAGTATTGATGCTTTAAAAATACTCTATTCTGCGTTAGTTAGGTCCAGGTTAGAACAATCTTCATTTGTTTGGATATTTTATTACATATATGAATAGCAGATGCCAGAGAAGTTGTATCTATCCTGAGAGGGGCGTCAGTGAACAACTTTTATGTAGTAGGTTCAACAAGGATTGCTTCACAAGCTCCTTCATAGTTTCAAAGATTGCCCAGATCTACTACATAAAATTGATTTTAATGATTAATGGTGCATATATGGGGAATTCTAATATTCAAAGTATATCTTAGGGCGTTCCTATATCCTTCAACTGTAGGATGCTTTTATTGCCTCCTTGATTTTCGTAGTTTTCTACTGTTCCGTGCCAGCGTCCTCTTTTGAGGTTATGTCACAATTTTTGTTATATCAACGCAGCCGCGCAGGCAGAATCCTAAATTCGGCTGCCCAAAGAAATTTTGTTAATAGTATTTTTGAACTGCCTAAGGTTAGTAGAACTGTCTGACAGGCACATCGCGCGGCGGCATCATGGAGGAGAGCTCTGAGGAGCAAAGCCCGGTGGTGTAGCAGTAGATGAGAGCTAGATCACCTACGGCCCGTCGGTGCGAAACGGTCCCGAGTCTGTCTGTTAGAGAAGAGTCATCGATCAGTCGGACAGCCTTCCTCTGGACAGCATCGAGCATAAATAATGTAGTCGGGACGGCAGAAAAGAGGTCGTTGATATGTAAGAGTAACAGTGTCGGAGCCAACACCGATTCCTGGGGAACACCCGCGTTGAGGTTGTGGGATGAAGAGGAGAACTCGTCAATTACGACGGATATCTTGCGGCCAGAGATAAAGTCAGCCACCCATCAGCAAAGCTTTTCTTGGAGGCCATAGGATGGAAGTTTGCTTAAGAGGGCAGCGTGTCACAGCTGATCGAACGCTTTCGTGAATGTCAAGAGCTACGACATGAGCCTCACCATAAGACTGGACGGGTTTACTCCACAACTACGTGACGTAAGTTAGGAGGTCCCCTGAGGATCGCTGGTGCCGGAAACCATACTGCTTGTCGCTAATCCAGCTGTGACGTTCGAGGTAGTCCAGAAGCTCGCGATTTATGTACCTATCCATCACCTTACTTTAACATCTGGGCAACTGAACGAATACTTAGTCGACGGTCTGAGTTCAAAACTTTGCGCACACGAGTCACATTATCGGTGTTTGTCGAAGTCGAAGGTCTTCATCAGCGACCTCTTCCCGGCCCTCCAAAAAAGGCCTGGTGCCACCGAAACACACCACTTCTTGCTAAAGCAACACCTGGGTAAGCCTGCTTGATCATATCAAACGTCACTGTCGCAGATTTACCGAGTTTCACACAGAATTTAATCGCGTACCTCTGCTCTAACGAACGCTGCATTTTCGGCTTGCACCACTCACAGAAACATGTCGCGCGAAAATGCCTGTCCTGACTCTCCAAGTGCTCAGAGACAACTGGCCAGCCGCTCATTCGTTAGCTAGGAACGCCCTCTACCGAATCCAGTCGATGCGCGTACGCTCCGAAGTACAGTCATGGCGGAAGAAAATGAGTCCTATTACTTTCCGGACAAACCCTGAATTGTAATCGCGAAAATTTTCGAAAATGAGCTGTTTTTGGATGTTACACGACATGTACATTAATAAAAACCATGCAATTCATTTCCGTCCGTCTGTCGGTCTGCCGGGCTGTTAGTCTGGCCGTTTGTCGGTCTGTCTGTCCGCTAGTCCTTGGCCCATCTATAACTTGGAAAGGACCACTCGGATTTTGATGAAATTTCCACACACTGTTACTACTATGAGTTTGAAAAGGACGAAATATGGTAGCTTTGTAGTTTTTGATAATCGGTCTAGTAGCGGCGGAGGTACAGGTAAAATACAAACAAAAATAAAAGTCGCTCAAACTGATTTTTTTAAAAAACAGATAAACTTTTCCAATTAGCGTGCTGCGTTGCTTGGTTGCCGAGTAATCGGTACTGTTGGTAGGGTGCTAGGCTAGATCGCAATGCTGTCAAATCTGTGGAGACTATGAGCCTGTTTGACTGTCATGATCTTGTGATGAATATAATATATGAGGAGATTTTATTCTAATTTAACCTAAGCCTTATCTTTCCCAGGTATTGAGATCCCCATGCATAGGATCCTTAAGTTGGACACCCTGTATACAAAGTCCATTGCGAAGGAAGTGTGGAGTCAACCTACTTGACGCCATTTTAATCCCCGCCCCTTCAAAAATGCTTCCGGATAAACCCTGTATAGTGGTATTCTGTTATCTCCATACAAGAAAAAATCCTCTTGAAACATGAATTTACCTGGTGAGTGATCTTCTACTTCTGGGAATGTATCAGCAGTTGAAAGTTGTTCGGCTATCCATTCTAATTCATCGACACAATTTTCCAGTTGCATCCAAAACTCAGATGGTGAGTTCTGATGGCTGACAAATCCGGTAACTTTAGTTTCTGCTGATTGGGTGACAGGAACCGCCAAATTCTCCTACAGATCAAGATACCAGGCAAATGAAAAAATGATTATGCCTTTGGATTATCATTATTTGATGTCACTTCAAGCATTGAATGAGATGCATACGCAGAGTGGATAAATTGCACCATGCAAATGTATCAAGTTTTGTTAAAATTTTGAGTCTACCACGCAAACTGAGCCGACTAGCCTAAAATCGACCCTGTTTTAGGAAAAAAAACCGGCTTTAAAAAGGAATTACATTCTTGAGAGTAAATGAAAAAGCTGGGCTGTAATAAGCTGACCGATACAGAAAACTGTATTTTCACCAAGTGATTTTTGACGTTTGACGTTTCACAAAAGAATTACCAAGTACTTTTTTATCTCTCACTGAGGAGTCTTTTCATTTACACTCAAGAACATAATTGTGTTGTAAAATAAGTTTTTACATTTTTTTTTAATTTCAGATCTCCTGGTTTACACAAGGCCGGCACATAATCATGCCTTAAGGTGCGATTTTACACAGATAAAGCAAAAGGAGACAGTGCCCAGCGACAGAGTAGCGTGACTAATTAAAATAGTACTGATACCAAAAACCTGTCACTGCGAAATATTCAAATTAAAGCTATGCAACTAGGTAAACTGAACAGTAAACGGTATTACGCATATAACTCCTACTGCTAAGTTTAGTCCAGTTAAATAGCCGAAACTGAGACAAAAGTGATAACATAGCCACACACTTATTTCCGCGTAATGGTGTAATAAAGGATTGCGAATATTGTTATATGAATTTGGTTTTCCGGAAACCAACCTCTTTTTCGCTGAAACGGCTGAGGATTTCTGGGATTTTTTTAAATGTAAATTTTTCTAATTTTTGGGCCATCAAAAAAGGTCTTTGCGATTTTTTTTGCTAAAATGTCTAGTTTTCGCGCTACAGCTTGCTGATAGTTTGATGGTGAGCGGATTGCGGGGGAAAGGGCGCGCGTACCTACATTCCTGCATACCACCAAACTGCCGCCGCACCGTCCACCAGGGTTGCCAGGTTTCCAGTCATGTTGGTCGCAAAGTTTTGATGAGAAAATCGCCAGAAATCGCCAATCTTTGACTAGGACTCAACCATGCTATACCTCGATCCACAAAATTACTATCATATGATGAACTTAAAAGACATATGAAGACATTTATTTTGAATACATAGAAGTATAAAATTTATCTGTCACCTAACACAAAAATATTTCCAATATAGCATTCCTTTGTTTGTATAACTGTTGCAATTTTATACTTTTAACTCATGAAATATTGAATAGCCTTCACTTATATATGTTATATACATCATATGTTTTATACACCTACATTTTTAAACTTGTAACATATCAAATGTCTTTATATTTTTTGTATTGTTTTTCAGTTTTTCTTCTTTTTTTGGGGGGGGGGGCTAAAGTGGCAGAGTAGCATTATGCTAAAGTTCTCCCTCATTTATGTACACGTTCATACCTTTTTTGCAGCTCTATGTTTTTTGTCGTTGTTCCAATTCTAAATGAAAATACTATACCTCACTTATCGTCAATCGATAAGCGGCTGAAGAGAAATTACTGCATCTTGTACTATACTTAAACGCATAAATTTCAAAAATTCATTAAAATGCATTCGTCGGTGAACGCCACAACTACAAACGAGCTTATTATTCGAAATCGACTGGCCTATCACTGAGAGCGAGACACTGAGGAAGTCCAAATATTAAAAGAGGATCGTCCGCATCAACGGTGCGGCGGCTGGTGATATGTGTACGCCGTCCTTGACCCCACAAGCCCCCGGCCAACAAGCTATCAGCAAGCTGTAGCACGAAAACTAAGCAATTTAGCAATAAAATTGCAGAGACCTTTTTTGATGGCCCAAAAATCAGAAAAATTTTCGTGTAAAAAATCCCAGATATCCTCCGTTTCAGCGAAAAAGATGTTTTTTTCGTTGTTTTACAAAAAACGGCTGGTTTCCGGAAAACCAAACTCTTACGACAATATTCTCAAGCCTTTATTACACCATTACGCCAGCGGCATAACTTTGTGGCTATGTTATCACTTTTGTGGCAGTTTCGGCTATTTAACTGGACTTTTTACATTTGAGTTTGAATTCGACGCAGACAGTTTCTATGTTTGAGTGATTTTCCACTAGTCCTTAATAAGGTTTTGATACCATATCAATGTTTATATGTGTTATTGTTTTCGGAATAAACTCACCTGGATAAGAATATCCTTGACATTTTTCCCATTCGCATACAATTCGACGTAATTTTTCTTTTCATCTTGATCTAAAAACTCAGCGGTAAGATCATCAACACAAGTCAGTTCTTCGAATCGGTTGTTAGCCGCAGTGCTCCATTCGCCATCTGGTGGTAGGATGTTTAGGGTACACCTTGTAGCGTACACAGCCAGAGTCAGCAGATTTGAAGGCAAGGATTTCATCTGGAATATTTACATTGAAATAATGGCACGATGGCCCGTAACACTCGGCGCCCATTAACTATCTTTGTGACTGTTAAATTCTATGTACATGGTGTTACAGATGCAAATGCTGTATCAAGGTTCACATTAACATGTGCAAACCTGTTACATCAGTGGAGTTAGTACCGGCAGGTCATTTTAGTAAAAAAACATGTTTCTGTTTTTTGCTAATGCTAAATGTATCAATTTCCTTATAGTTGTGGCAAATGAGCTTACATTCAATGCCAGCATCTTTCTCAAATACACTCACATTCAGTATCAGTATCTAAAAGCATTGTTTAAAAAATATCAAAAAACATAAATTACTTCTATAGAGTTTCCATAATCTCAGTATGTATTAAAATGTGTATAACACTTAATTCTGCCTCATTTTTTATATTGTTCAAGCATCCTGTTTACAACAAATAAAAACGTATTTTCAAAATAACAAATTCTACAAACTGAAGCTATGAAGATCGTTTCAAATAAAAACAAATATGTATTCTAAGATTACGTCTATGTTAGCAGACCTACTGTAATTGAATGTAAAAAAAATTGTTTAGTTCTGATTTCCATATTGAAATTAAAAAACAATTTATTACCACCACATTTAACTCCGAAACCAGAGGAAGTGTCAGTATGTATAGATTTTCTTCTGAAAAATTTATTGTAATAGCATAACTAGCTAATCTGTATTTCAAAGGGGAGTATTCAAATTTAATAAATTGAATAATGGTATTAAACAGTATTCGAATTTAAAAATGTTTTAGATGAAATTAAAACATCACTTTATGAATACTCAAAATGCATAGTGATATAATTTTAATAGACAAGAATGTAAAATTGCAGCAAATTTATTTAAAAGATATATAAACGAATAATTGTACAAAATTGACATTGTAGCATTAATGCTAAATAGATCTTCAAAAAAAAAAAACAAACATCGATCCATACACACACCCGAAAAACAATAAAACTGCTTCTGAGGCAGCTGGCACTTTTTTAACAAACATAATGAAAAACTTCTAGTCACATTTCAAGGAGAATCAAGAGGGATTTGCAGCCAGCAACCTAAAATTTTTTAACAATATTCTGCAACATCCTATATAAATGATATCAAGCGTCGACTGTCAAGTGCTGTAGTGATTCAATATCCCGAGATTAAATCTAATACCTTCCAAAAAAAAAACTCTTCAGCAGTGCATTTGAAAAACAATCAAATAGTGCAGTAATATAAACATGAATCAATCCTGTGATCGATAGCTGAGAGCATCCTTTATGTAACCCTTTAGAGATGATGCTATTACTATTAGCCATTAACTTTATGAGCGGCCGCTGCAAAGACTTACATGCAAGTACATGCGGTATTAGTGCAAAAAAATGATTAGCCATATGTGCAATATAGGAAGTTTTTCAATTACACTCACCATCTGTTATCCATTTATGAAACAAAAAAGAAGTTAGCAGTTAGTAAACGTTCATCATGTTATAAGTGTAGTAAAACACAAGACGTAAAGTTATAATGTAAGTAAACACAAATACATTCTTATTAAAAATTATTTCTGTAAACAAACGTGTATTAGCATGACAGTAAATGATCAATAAACATGCAAGATGAATAAAAAAAGACAATCATGTTTGAAAAATAAATTACAGTAGAGAATTTAAATTGTTAACTGTTAAAATTAAACATTTATTATTTGTAAATGATTCAAATAAATAATCTCTATGAAAAACCGTATATCACGGTATGCATGCCAAATATGTAGTTGCTTTTTTAAGTATGATAATATTGGACGTATTTTGGTACTGACCTTCGTTGAGCTATTATTGTATACATCAGTATTGCCGAAATCGATGAATCTGACGGAAGTAATGTCATCGTCAGCATCCAACACTTCCGCCCTGTACCATTCGCCATCTATTGAATATGGAGCTGCACAGAGAACGCCAGCAGTTGGAGTTTCCAGGTCTGCAGCAGTTTTTACCTGAAAAGAAACATTTCCTATACATGCATCAAATTCAAAATAGTAAGAGGGGAGAAACCATTTTTTATAAGACGTTTCACACCGATTTCTAATCTTAAGGTAGGTCTAGCGCGATAGTCGGTAATAAAAATGTCTGCAAAATATTGAGGACACAACATACCATAGCAACAAAGAGATTACATTGTAGTCTGTTACATACCACTTAGCCGGATAGAATGAAACTAATTTATTAGTAAAATTATTTCAAAAATTAGAGGACTACATTTGAAAATTACACTAACGTTCGGTGTTTCAGTTCTTTCGGCTATTTCTAAAATATTTCTTGTTTAACGGCGGTTTTCCACTAAACGGACAGTTGAGTTTATGTTGTGTTTGTATTTTCTAGAACCTGGAAAACAAAAACAAAACTGAAAAAAAAACTCGAAACTCTTGTTTCCATCAAGTGGGCTACATTTTGTTCGAGTTTTGTTTTTGTTTTCGGTCCATTTCCACTGGTTGTCGCGAGGAAGTCAAAACACAGATCTTCTTCAATAACCAACCAACATGTTTAGAGAAGAAGCTTTTGTATTCTTATTTAAGGCTGCTTGATACTGAAGTCCTTGCGAAAAAGTGTATGTATGTACAGTGTCTAATAATTTATCTGTGGCTGTAACTAGCAAGTAAACACTTAACCTTACATATATATTTATTAATGATTAAAATAGTACTATTTTTTAGGAGAAGAAGAAATCGCCAAAAATATTATTATTCATCTAGAAGAGTAAACGATGGTGCTGCACAATTGATGAATGATATCCAAAATTATGACATTGGATTGCGTGGGGAACATCGCACATCATTTCATAATTTTCCGAGAATCTCTTCCTCTGATTTTCAAGAGCTAATTACCCTAATTGGCAGAAAGGTTGCAAGTTAAACTTCAGAGATTCGATTTCTGTTAAAGATCGATTAGCAGTAATACTGAGGTTTCTTGCTACTGGGGGCAGTTATCAAAGCTTAATGTACTTATAAATTTATCCAGCATCTTAAAACAAATTCCATATCTACTAATTTGGTACAAAATTCATATTCAGACTAGTAATGCAAAAATAGAAAACACATGACCGTTTCTACTAAATATACTAGAGTTTCAAAACACGTCGATGCCTTTTATGTGACCTCTTCCGAGCTTGGCACGAAAAACAAAACTCCATCTAACGCAAAACACGCTAGTCTTCAAAAAGTTTGGAAAATTTACAGCTTGTTGTCTTTCAGACAAGCTCCATGGCTTACAATATATGGTTTGATTGACATATCGTTCAATCACTTGATAGAAGTTTCTATAAGGTTGATTCTCCATCCATCTTTTGGGAAACTTAATGCTGTGCGTTCATTTGAATTGTTACGTACCCATAACGCGAAAGTATGCAGTAGTGCAGCAACATCCAATGGCCGTACAACCAAATAAAAAAAATATATATATGTATATATATTCAAATAACAATGTTCGATAAGTAATAAACTAATAAAACAAGTTTAGTATTACAGACTCACCACCTCCTGAAGGTCGGCTTGCAACTGCTCGATGGCGCTCAAAGACTCGCTCAGTTGCACATAGAAATCGTTCGGAGAATCAATGTGACTCATAAAAATCTTTGTGCCATTGGCCTGCTTCGCCTCTTCCTGAGGAGGAGCAGCAGCAGCAGCGGGTTGCGTCACCTCCACGTTATCATGACTAGCTGTACCGAAACCAGTATCAGACGTTGTAGTTGTGGAGGGGGTGATTCCAAGGGGAGTCAGAGGGGTAACAGTGCCCTCCCAGCCGTTGTCACCGTAGAAGATCGTTGCCGTGACATCTTTGTCGATTAGGGAAGCACCATCTGCGTTGCATGTGATCTGAAAGAAATAAACTTTTATTTTGTTTGCGACTTCGTTATAGTCTGAGATCTCTATTCGTCACTGTCTGTCAGAGTGGTCCGTAGGACCTTTGCTCTTGATTAAAGTATCGCAAGTCAGTAGGTTGACCGGCCTGGAAGGAGGGAGAGCAAAGAAAAAAAGAAGTGCGTCAATTTGCATTGCTAACTGGTATTCGGGAATTTCAAGTTGATCCTAAAAATAATTTAGGGATTGGTTGTTTAAAAATATACATAATTTTGGTTAGACCTAAAGTCGCACGAACTTGCTCGACTGTGTAGTCTACTGTCTCGCGCAACAAAGGTTTGCTATTCGATTCCGCTTGACTATCACGTAGCTGCGCTTATTGTTTGATGAAGTCCCTCAGATAAGTGATGTCAAAGTCTCTGAGGAGGCTCTCATAGGAAACACAGCACTTACGTAAGTGATCGCTGGATGAATAACCGAACTCTGTTGATGAAACTTAATTTTGAGGTTCTTCATATCATAGGGTACAGTTTCCGAAATGTTGGAGAGTTGGAATTTAGTTTTTAACGCTTCAGTGTGCTTCTGCCAGGTAATCCCCTTGTCAAGAGTGACACCGAGATAGTTGGCAGAACTTTCCCATGGTATCCGAGCTCCGAGCACTGAAACCTCAGATTGGGTGCTGCTATGTTTTTTAGTACTTTAGATAGCCTTCTTTTTCTAATGATTAATTTTTATCCGGCCTCCTATCCGCCCCTTCCAATACTCTTTCCTTCCACATCGATAGTGCATCCTTTCATAACGCATATCACATAACACGACTTTTCCATCAGGACAGTGTCATCACAAATACTTCACATTTTTTACGGCAAGGGTCGTCATGAATAAGAATGGGTCCAATAACCGAACCCGTAGGGACAAACCTGGCTATGATGGGCCGTATTGTTAGACAGCAGGTTGATATTTAATCTCAAAGCTTACATAGACTAATCAGAAGGACGGTAATCCTGTGGAAATATAACCCACATTGCTTTGGAATCATTATAACATCAGCGGTCTTCCTGCCTTGTAAGTAATCGCCAGGTGCTTTACGAACCTTGAGGTCTTTTAATATGACCTTGAAGCTCTGCGTGGTTTGCAAGTGCAGGATCTAAAAGGAGATTCTGCTGCTGATGTGCCCTCAACCTTATTTGATTAATTTTTTTTTTCCGAGAAAATTCATTAAGAGGGGCGCCACTACCTCTGACGCCGTTAGCCCTAAAATATCTCCTGACGGATCTTATGTGTTGCTCCTCGTCGAGGTCATTATCAAGGTCATAGTTGGGCGAAACCTGTCTTTACTTAGCATCAGCGAAAACCTCGACCCTTTCCTCTGTCCTAAAGGCTATGCCCCCAGGACCGTGGATGAGGATGAGCAATACTTGAGTCAAGCATCCCCGCCAGAAAGTCGCTCTATGGTGCATTACGGAATTCACCAAATTTGGCAAGTTACAGTGAAACTACTGCTATAACTCTCAACTTCCATCTTGCTCACACATACCCATATACACATGCAATCTATCTATATGAAAGAATACCGTCTTTTTGTAGCTCATCGACAAATATTTTTTAGTTTTTGTCTAGGCTCCTCAAAATGTGTTTTGTTTTGTACGAGTGTTCTAAAACTATGCCTGTCAGTCTCATTAATTCAATTAAATTAATTTACAAGATTTTGAATGTTTAACATTCGTTTCAATTTCTTGTACGTCTTGTACAGCTATTGTAGTTTGCAGAACACCTCAAAAGTTATCTGTGAACTATCATATGGAAACTAGTTATCTACTAACCTGCAAGCTTAAGGCGCACATCTCCTTGAATTTGAGATCCAACTCCCTCAGTTGTGCGAATCCGATCGTTTCTCTGTTTCCATAATCAATGTATTGAACGATGACCATATCATCATCAAACTCCAATACCTTTCCTCTATACCAATTGCCATCTTCACTATGAATGGCGCATATCTGAAATCGTCGATTTTTCATTTATAATCCACAAAATGAAGACGATATTTATTCATTTCTTTTTGCGTTTTACGAAGTTGAACTAGATCTTAAAATGCTTAAAACATTGCAGTTTTTAACAGTTCAAAATTTACATGCTCGCTATTGTTTAGAATGATAGGATTAAACAAACAACGTTCTGTTTACCTGATCTATTTCGGGAATGATCGTATTCTCTTCGGTGAGATTCTCATAGTGTTCAAACAACTCCTGCAAAAGGTAAGCTACCGAGTCAGCATATTCGTTTGGTTGAATGAACACGGTCCCTTCTTCAGCGTGAGTAACGCCGCCTGAAATGGTAGACCGAAGGACCAACATTGGACAAATAGCGTCGACGGTTTCATATGATCCTTCATCCGGATTGAGTATTACCAGCTTGCATCCTTGGCTATCGTATAATGTTACTTCTAACCTAAGATATTTGTACCATTAGCAAAAAAGCATCTGACGTGACTAATAAACACTACTACTGCTACCATTGTAGAAATTTATGAAACGTTCTTCGATATTGGCAACTGTGCGACTGGTCGCCAAGAACCTCATGGGATTCCAGCGGCACAATGTTGATGACTAGGAACACTTATAAATTAGTAATGTACCACTACTTACTTATCATCTATAATATTATCAACATATACAATCACAGTCTGTTCCAGAAGACCTTTCAATACGTTCTCAAACGTCTCAGTTGCTGTTTCCAGATTATGCATGGTACAACTTAGAGCCAATCCACATCCGAGAGCTAAAAATATATTAATCCCATATTGGAGAACACACTTCATTGATTTATCTACCACAAAAAACAAACATATATTATTTGACCTTTTTTGATAATATCAACTTACCAATGATGATATCACTGAGATTATTAACACTCTTCACAGTTGCTCTAAATTGTTGACCTACAAGTACATTTATCTCTACATCCTGAACAGGAGCTCGAGTGCTGATAGCCAAACCATCAGACACCAACGTTTGAGCAATGTCTTCGTTATTATAAAACAAGTTTACAAAGACTCTGGAAAAAGACGAAAAGTAATTTAATGATATCTAAAATGGATCATTTGAAAAATTTCCTTCTTGCACACACTCCATACCAAATACATGGAGTAGCTCAATGCTAAGCAACCAAATATGTATATGATGCGTCGCAAAAATCAATATGCTTGAAAAATCAGTCACTGAAATTTCTGTCAACGCAGATCAATCTTCTTAGGCATGGCGTAAATCGACGTTACATATGCCAAAACATGGCCAAAATAATGTGGTGCATACGTAAAAGAATACACATAGCTTTTCGTTTTGTCTAAAAAATCGTGCGCCAGAAGAATATAGAAAAAATAATTGCAGTTATTAACGTTCTGCCATTATATGTAACAATAGATTTTTTTTAAACTTTTTATAAAATTATCGCCAAACGTCAAACTACTTTTAGGTAATTAAAGTAAAACTTACTTTGATTCGTCCTTATCTATAAATCGGCATATATAAGTATCTTTATCAAAATATATACTATAGGTGTCAGGATCTAGCCACGAATCACCAGCTGGCTTCAAACCATGTAGACTACACACTAGTGCTTGCGCAGGTAGTTCCATAAACTTTTTTTCAATGGGCCAAACTTCGTTTATTGTTGATACGTTTCCGAAATCAACGTAAAATACCTGAAAAGTAAATATGAAAATAGTATATTATAGATATGAACTACAAGTAATTCTGTTGCAAAATATAGGTACCAAGCTATCTCCAGAAGCCTGCATCGTATATACCTATTGCAACAGTTAAAAATAGTTCAATAAGCTAAACATCCATGATCAATATAAACGTAATGTGTTAGAAACACTGTGATCCAATTAGTAGATAGATCTAGATCGCACTCGAATTAAGTTTTAATGTTTTGTGGTTTACCTTATACTGGTTGCCGATAACTTCAAGTACTTGAGCCCTGTATAGAACGTTATCTTCAGGAAATAGACCAATGACGGGAGCACCAGCCACAGAGGATTCGGAGTTCCGCCCTTTGTAGAACAGTTGGATTTCTTCCATAAGCTTTTTGAACTGCGCCTACCAAAAAAATATACAGTAGCGGACAAACGTTTGGAAAGATTCTTAGTAATTTTTAAAAAGTGTGCTTATTTTTTATTCTTTATTATTAAGGACTATTTTTTCTCATATAGTTTGCTTACAGTCTTGAGGATAAAAATTACCATTTGTGTTTGCTGTGGTACTGCAGACTAGCTTTAAAATACCTTCATATTATTTTATGACCGAAAATGAGACGACAAAAGTATGGAAGCATATTTTTAATTACAAAATTAAATACAATAACTCTACAAAAAGAATTAAAAAATACTGCTTAGCTAATATTTGGTAGCATAGCCTTTAGCATTCAACACTGCCTGACATCTGCTGCTCATAGAAGACACCAATTTTTTACAGACGTCTGTTGGGATATTTTGCCATTTATTTTCTACATAATCAAATAAATCGATCCTATTTTTTAAAGTTTTTCTTGTCAGTCTTTTAACATGCTCCCAGTGATGTTCAATAGGGTTTAGGTCCGGGGATTGCGAAGGCTATGTAAGAACATTAACATTTTATAGTCATTACCAGTCCTTTACGAATTTTGAGGTATGTTTGGGGTCATTATCTTGCTCCATCCTAAGGGCATTTCTTCTTCAGCAAAAGGGAGCATGCGTTCACTAAGAATATCTTTGTCAAGGTTTGGATCCATTTACCCAACAATTTTAACAATTGGACCCGTTCCAGAACTAGAAAAACAGCCACAAACCATGATGTTGCCTCCGCCGTGCTTAACTGTTGGCAACTGATTCTTTTTGTCGAATCTTTTTCGTATTGGACGTCTCACATATGCCGTACCGTCATGTCCAAACAAGTTAAATTTTCTTTCATCGCTCCATAAAACTGTATTTCATTGTTGTTCTGTCCAAGTTACAGTTTTAACACATTCAAGCCGAGCAAAAAGCCCAAAATCCACCTAGCGTCTCCACCTGCACTGTTCTGACAAAGATTCTCGGCACCCTCTTCTACGATTCTTTTGAGAATCCGTGTGGCTGGCATTCGAGGATCTTCATGGGACAAACGTTTAATGTAGCGATCCAAAACATAATTGTTTTTTTTTCGGTCTCCGCACCTGGGTCGCGTTGCTGTTGATCTGTATTCTTGATATTTACTAACAATTTTCGAAATCGTCCCTTTGTTCATTTTTAATCTTTAAGAAATTTCTAAATTTCTGACACCACTTCTAAATAATTCAATTACTTTGTCTCTTAAATCTTTTGAAGATTCTTTTACTTTTGTCATTCTCACTGATATTCATATTTACCGCACGCAATATCAGAGTATCGCAGAACGAATAAATACGGCAAAACTGAAATGTTTCCATACTTTTGTCGTTACAAAAACTGGGATATTAAAAAAAACGCCTATTTTTATTTTCAGAGAATTTGAATATTGATACGATAAACCTTGCATTAGTACGGAAGCCAAAGGTAGACTTTAATATTTATATTATCTGTTCCTTAAACATTTTTATTTGGGTATATGAAATAGTTCATAATAATGTTAATATTTGTTTCTAAACTTTTATCCGCTACTACATAAATATATTTTGCAGCATATAATTTTTCAAGAAGAGAGAAAGTGGAGTCCAGAGTCGTGCGCTTTCCTTCAGCTTCAGTTGCATATTTCTTTTAACTTGCCTGAACACATGTGTTTTTGCGTTTTTTATTGTATTCAATCAGACCGCTAAAAGGAATACAGAGTTTCTGAAAAGCAGGGTCTGTCAAATACAGTTATCCAAACAGACTAATGATATGATGTATGTACTCAATTGATCTGATCCACTGTAAATAACTGTTCCGCCCTGTCAGAAACTCATTATTGGAAAGTACAAGATGCATCTAATTGCAAATGTTCTATTGAATTCTGCCAGAGAATACATTCTATACTGTGCCTGATGTTGAAGGTGAAAGGTTAGGGAAAGTATATGAGTGTGGACATTCCTTGAGATTATTTAAAGTAATTGGACTTTGAGCTTTAAGTGACACAACTGATATCTCTTACCTGACAGTCGATCAGTTGACAATAGAAATGTGCTGGATTATGGAACCAGCTGATAGCTACATTGGACTCTGTACCGACGACATCTATAGCCTTGAACTTTGCAGTCGCTGGAGCAGCATCTGTAGCTGCAGTCACTGTGCTTACATTCCAAGACGCTTCGCTTACGGGACTTGTAGGCCGATGGCGGTTGTTAAAACCACCTAATGATATGATAATTCAGAAATTAATAAAATCAGCTATATCATCTCGCGTCGCGTGATTTGTCTAATATGTCTAGTACTGTGGAATGTCTATAATCCGCCCCTCTTGCATTATAGTAGGGGAGTCGACCGCAAACTTTTTGTTATATCATAAAAACTAGTCAAATAAACGGTAAAACAGAGCAAGATAATGTTATGTGTGTTTGCAATTTTTGGGACCTATTGTGTTTTTCCCTATTTCATTGTTACTCAGTCGCATGCTTATAGATAGAAAGGAATTATAAGCTAGTGAATATTCATCCACATTTAAATGGCACAATTATTACATTACTACAAATGATTTGTTGTACAAAACCTTTCTTTTCTTTTTCTTCTTTTTCTTTTTTTTTGTCAATTTTCGGGGTTGAGTGGAAGAACACTATTTTTGTGAACTCCGCCTTTTGGATCATATGTCCAGTATAGAATATTTCCAATAAAGTCGATTATTATTAGTAATATAATCGCTATGACTGTCACTTTGACACAAGCTATCATTCACTTCATTTTCGGCTTTAGTAGCGGTATGAGTTGTTTAAACATCAAAATACTTGAGTTATGCAATGTACTTCTGATGTTATGTAACAAATGCTTCAGAGATGGCCATTCATAGCTTTGATGGGATAAGGTTTAAGTTCTATACTATATATCGTTGTATCATTATTCTATATGTGGCATTCATGAGCACGCGTAGCTAGTACACAAGTGACCAACACAATATCATGCGATCATTTTACACTATAGGGATGCCGCACATCCTCGGTGAACCAAGTCAGCGAACATTTCATCCAAAAGAACAACTTGCGAGTATAAGTGCTAATTTCATAAGCTTTTTACTACCTCCATCACGTTGCTTGCCACCAAAGCCTCCTCCAGTGTCATTTCTTCTGAAGCGGTTGTCGCCTCCACCACCTCTATCGTTACGTGAACTGCTTCTAGGGCCTTTCTGGAAGCTCTTTTCAGATTCACTGGAACTGATATCAGCATCCCTGGAACAACTGTTCATATTAATATGATTACAATATATCACAAACATGTTTATTGCAGTTTTCGTGAAGCGTTTTCTTGAAACAAATTTCTTATAACAATTGGAGTCAAGGCAATTTGATGCGCAAAAACCTTCAATTTAAAAGGTGGCATTACTAAAAGGTTTTATTTATCTTGCATTGTGTGGGTCAGGTCGCTTAAATGAAATGTTACTTTCTTTCTGTCAACCGATTGATTCGAAATTCGGTACCCACTTTGATCATCGTAAATCTAAGATAGCAATCACAACAAAATGACAAATTGAGTATTTTTACAACTCCCTCAATATGGGCAATGAATACAAGGATTGCAAGACTTATACACATTTTATTAGTTATCTCAGGAGAAGGTTCCTTTATGTTGGCTTCTTTCTCACGTAATATTTTTGATGTTCAAAACTGATAAAATTTTAGATTCGGAAATGCATATTAGATGCAACTGCCATTTATGCTTTTAAACACAACGAAAATTTTTGTTCACAATCTCCACAAAAATCAGTCGCTGTCATTGTTTTAATTGATGTTATTTCCAGGAGACAGAGTTTGTACTATTTGTAGATGCACCCCCTTTTTTGAAGCTAGTCCTACTGGACTTGGAAACGACGGCATTATTGAAATAAAGTGTCTCAGAAGTGCACCAACATTCAACCCACCAGATGCCATAAGGCAACATATTATCAAGTTTGCAACTATAAAAGAAGGTAACATATTGGAAATAAAAAACATGATTATTGTTACCAAACACAAGGCCAACTACACGTGTCAAATAGCATTATAAAATAGCACTTATAGTAATAGTAGTAATATAGTATCCTGAAGTAATACTTGTACAGAAGGTTAATTACTGCATCGGCAATATTGTTCCATCATGATGGTACTCGTAACATGAGATTTTTAGGTTCCAAGGGACGATCGAAAACAAAGATGGAGAGGCCAATACTGTTTTGTTACAATGACATGATTCCTGAGATAGTAGATCTTTGATATCAAAGGTTGAAGAAATCGTAGTCAGTTGAGAAAAAAACTTCTAGATCCGTTATTCCATTATTTTTTTCTCAAAATAAATTGGATCATTTATTATCTGTTTTAGAATAAGAATTACTTTCTTTTCTCTTTTTTATATAATAATTTACGTACTTATGTGTCATGGAAATAGATTTTTTATGAACAAATAAATACTAGTGAAAGGATAACGTGTTTTTTGAACCTCATGTACAACGCCTATAGTCTTTAAAATTACCGATCTAGCGTTAAATGGATATTGCATAAATCCAGTAGCAATAATTTCATCTCAGTTAACGTCCAAATAATGAAAACAATAAAATGGAGGCAAGTAGAGTGACTTAGGACCTCTCACCCCGTAATTCTCTAATTCCCAGATTACTGAGATAATGATGTTAAATAAATAAAGTTATAGGTCTATAATTAGATTTGTATCTCTCTGTTCATAGACTGGTATAATTATTGATGTTTTTAGAATTCCTGGGAGAATGTATGAACTTATGTATCCTTTAATCAAACTAGAACAAATACAGTCAGTCCTCTTCGCTCTTAAAGGATTTAAATTCATTTAATTGTCTCTTTTTCAGATATAGGATTAAGGAGTAAAGAATGTCAGATCTATTATGCTTATTATTTATTGGTGTCTTTGACCCCTTCAAAATTTGATCTACTAGTATTTAATTGATGGCCGCCACCACAAAATGATGCAATTACAACTTTTTACAACGCCTTCAATAGAGTATTAAATAAAAGGGCGTGATTAGTGGAACACCCTGGAAACATTTCAAATCCAAGATGGTCGACACATTGTCCGAGTACAGTTTTCTAATCTACTGAAGTAGAAAAAAAAATGGCGTCCGAAACAAAACGGCGGATCATAGAGTTCAGACAGTTAATACAACAAGGCTGAAATCACTGCAAACTAGGCATCTATATGTCGTTCATGAACTGTATCATTTATTACCGATAGAGGCACTGGAAGCGCTTTGTTTACATTTCAACATGGCAGTCGTTAATAAAACAAAGTTGTTTTTGAAGTGAAAATTTCAATAACTCGTCACCAAATGAGAATGAATGTGAGATTAATAAAATACTACAAAAAAAAAGGTACTCGAGTTCGGAACGCGATTGACAGGTTAGTACATCAATAATAAATTAAACTATTATTTATTTATTTTAGGTCAAAATCGTCTGCCAGCTAAAATATTGTGTTTGTCTATTGAACTACTATATTATCCTACATATGTGAAACTCGTAATTTTTATTTCATTTTTACGTTGTACGTGAAATTAAGCAGACTTTATTTGTGACCCGTTGGGCAATTTCAGAATGTTATAAAATAATTACTTTATTTTCCTAAAGTTACTAGTTTTAATCAAAATGGTTGTCTCACTTAAAGAACAATAAACGAGTTCCTAACATATTCTGCATTTAAAATTCTACGTATACTAAATCACCACACCTGGAAACCCTGATCATGTTGTAAGCGCATCGATGATGGTGTGGAAATAAGATGGTTGCGTAAGTCTGGTTGCCTATACGTTCAGCTTGTCGCAAATAGAATTAAAATAGTGATTCTGCGTTTTTCCGCGTGGTAGCACTGCAGTGCATTATTGGAAATTGAGCCTCATCTGTGATTAAAGTAGTTAATTGGAAATTCAGACATTCGGACAGGGATATAAAAAAAACTTTTTCGCGAGCGCCTTTAAAGCAGACGTATCAAAACAACTTTTTGACGGAAAAAATCAGAGAAAAGCGGTTTCATTTGGTTGAACGGAGATCGAACACCCCAGAACGGTTCATTATACTGGAATCCTTGATGAGGTGCTACACAAAGTATGAACTCAGAAAACCTGAATTACATCCTTAACCCACCTCTTATAGCCAGCTCTTTTCTTGAAGCCACCATCTTGTCGGTCGCTCCTGAAGCCTCCCTCACGATCGTCCCTAAATCCACCCCTTTCCGGTCGATCGCGAGGTTTGGCGAAACCATCTCTTTTTTCGAACCTGCCCTTGGGCCGATCGAAGTTGTTCTGCGAAACAGGAAGGGGCTTCCAGTTACCCGTAGCGGGGGTTGTCGTGTCGTTCCAGGTGTCGTTCTCGTTTGTTTCCTTCGGGGGACTCGAGGTGCTCCAACTGTTGTTTGCGCTGGGACCGCTGCTGCGTTCTCGGCTCGTGTGTTTCGGACTGTAATAACAAGATTATACTGAATTGAAATTTTAGAAGTATAGCTTAGAATATACAGGGTTGTCCAATGTAAGGATCCTATGCATGGGGATTTCACTTCCTGAGGAAGGTACAGGTTAGGTTAAATTATAAAAAATGCTTTCTTTGTGACGTATTTACATGCCGTTGAGAAACTTGTAAACATTTCATAGCTTACTAAGATACTTGGGAAAAATTTGGTCAAATTGCATTTATTTTTTTTGACTTTATTTCAAGAAATATGATTGTGTTTTTAAAGTTTGTGCGCACGACTTTTGTTTTTGAGAAACCGTCATCAACTTAATTTTTGTATATGATCCAAAAGAGTACACCCTGTATCTAATAGCATCTTCTTCTATGAGTTCTCAATGATGTGTCACATGTTACATTTGTTTTCTTAGTTATAAAGAAAAATGTTTTTAATTTTTTATTTTAAATAGGTGTTACAAACGAATGCCTGATGTAAGATTATGTGATCACTGATAGATGCATATTACATAGTGATATGATGGTATAAACTGTTATAAAATGATGCTTAATCTAGAGATATCCAGAATAGCGAATACATTTTTAGCTTTATTTTTATTTTATTCGCAATAGGTGTTCAAATAGGTTATCATTCTTTACTAAACTTAAATATGATCTTCTAATAGTAGAATTAAAAAAAACATCACGAAACATTTCTGGTGTAATCATACTAATTGGTTAAATTACACATTCTCGCAACTGCTGCTCGGTTTCAAAAGTAGGCTGATAAACTTGGTTTTTAATAAAACCCCAAACAAAAAAGTCCAGAGGAGTTAAATCCTGGTAACACGCTGTCCATGATTCTTCACTGGAGGTTCCAATACACCTTCCGGGAAATCGTTGAGAAAAATACTCTCGAACTTGCCTAGAGTTAATTCTAGTTATACTAGCATCTATTAAGCTGTGGCAAAGGTAAATTATCCAGTCTTCTAGATCATGTTGCAACAATCGATGGTACCGTTATGCAGTTAATGGATTATGGTAAATAGATGGACCAAATATTTTGTTCTCTTAGAATTCCACACTACATATTAAACCTAAAACGTTCTTGATGTCTGGATACAGATTTTCTTCAGCTCAGTGTGCTGCGGTGATAAAAGATACCGTTATTAGTTACCATACTCTCGTCGGGCCATATTATTTTTGAAGGGAAATTAAAATCTTCACAAATAAATTGGGCTGTGGACTTGGCTAGTCCTACGTTTTTCTCAATTTGCCTAGTTGATATTTCAGAGGTCTCAGCAACTGCTTGTAATACACCAGAGTTCCCTCTAAAGCTTCCTTTTTTCGAGACGTAACAGGCTTTTTGAATGAATTTTGAGCCAACTCTAAGAAAATGGACTTAGTTGGCTGTCTTCTTTCGGGAAATTTATCAAGATAGCACTTCAGCATGTCGAAATTTTCTCCGTTGCTAAAATGACCGCCTGGCATCTTTGACGATAAAAAATCAAGGTTATCAATACACGATAATAACAATACTCGGTGACAGGTATTTTCGTCAAGTCAAGCATTCGTTTGCAACGTATACTTAAGAAAAAATATTAAAAAAAAAACAGAAAAATCGCATTTTCCCTTATATTCCAGAAAATAAATGTAACATTGATATATCGTTAAATTCGTATAAAAAATGCTATTAGATACAGGGTGTACTATTTTTTGGGTCATATAAAAAAAAAGTTGTTGGTTTCTCGAAAACGAACAGTCGCGCATAAAATTGAAAAACAGCATCATGTAGTGCCTAAAAACTACCAATAGAAAGATTTCATTAGTTTTTTATACCTCTTAAAATGAAGTCCCCAAATATCAGCCAAAAGAACGAAACTTTTTCAGAATTCTAACCTAAGCTGTATATCCCAAGTACTGAGATCCTTACCTTGGACATCTTATGACCATGCATGGCAAATATTGTGTTCACCATAATTAATGATTTAACGTATTTTCCAAGAAGACCCACCAACCATATGCTGTATTTGCACGTTTACTTACAATTTCTGTCGCCAAGTAGGAGTAACTCCGTTAATTTTCAAAGCTCGAGGAAAAGTTAAACGGACGTAAGTCAATCTTTTCGACCTATCACATTTTCACGTATTCGTTGAGAGGACAGCTATAAGAACAATTCAGTAAAATTGTATAAGTAGATATATGAAGGGAACGCCGTTAAAATCACCATCAAATTCGTCTAGCCCCTTGGTAAAAAAGCCGCAAGTTGATTTCATATAAGTCGAAAAAATTGAATTATGCCCTTTCAACTATTTGCTACTGAAAGGGAATATTACCCCTCAACCTTCGTTGTAATTACTGTTAACATTCTCAGAATTTCTCAACGACGATAAACGGACTGTCATATTACATTCGATAACAGTTTGGAAGATGGAAACGATGCCTAAAATTGATGGTCAACAGGTATATATTTGTGAATAACACAGCCGTGTAAGCAGAAGGCTGAATATCAGGGCAACACGGCTTGTACGAGGAGCTTTAAGAAACTTTGTTAATCCGATACGACACATGCAGTGCCTAAAGTTAGTAGAACTGGAAAAGCCTCCTCAGGTAGATTGTTCCACGATCTCGATACCCTAGGGACAAAGAAGTGGGCTTATCGGCCAGTTCTGGAAGTACGAAGTTCATCATGGTTACATAAGATTCATGCTGAAGGGGTCCACTGTAAAAATCGACAGCAGCTGATAGTTGGAAACAACATATTATCAAGATCCTTGAGGAATGCAAGAAATCTATAGCACAATGCAATAAGAAGCAACTATGACCATCACTACAAAAATCATACCGCTGTAACAATACAGAAAGCTCTCGTTGTTTTCAATTTTTTTTATTCAACCACGATAGATCCAATCAGAGGCGTAGCCAATGAACAATTTTTGGTGGTTACAATAATCCCTAATGCAGCTTTTTGAGTGATCGCGATGACATGGTAACCCTCGGGTCCCCAAAGGAAAATTTCTGGTTATGCTCCTTATACTAATCAAAATATACATAAACATATTTGAAAAGAGTACCTAAATCCTTTATTATTATCTCGCCAAGAGCTTCGTTCACTGGAGGTTTCGTTTTTATCGTAGTTTCTGAAATTATAGAACAAATTACTTAACATACGAAATAAAATAATAAGAACACAGTATCGCAAGCTTAACCGGAAACGACTTCAAATATGCATGCATGCATGAGAATGAAGTGATACATCACTCGGACACTCAACATTAATACTGGCTCCACTACAGTTCTCTACCGCAAATTTCACTTAATTTGCTTCTGTCAATATATTATTTTAAAATCCATCCAAGATTACATACATGGACAAAAGTATATAGACAAATATACTAAGTGACATATAAATCCGAACACCCAGTTTAAATGGTTTTATTTTAATAAAATTTTGTATAAGTACTTAATGAAGCATAATAAGTAAATGATAAAAATTTCAAAATGATTGCACTGCTTTAAAGCCCTTTGACCTTTAATAATGTGTGGATGCACCCTGATGTGCTACACATTCTCCAACGCGCCCAGGCATGCTTCTGATCAGGTGGTCAATGTCCTCTTGTGGTATCTCATTCCAGGCAACCACCAACTCCTCTCGAAGTGCTTCTAGAGTCTGAGGAGGACGTTGCAAATTGAGCAATCTCCTACCCATCATATTCCACGCGTGCTCAATTGGGGATAAGTCGGGAGATCTTGGTGGCCATGGTAACAATGTGACATCATTATGTTGAAAGAAGTCTATTGTGACTCTTGCAACATGTGGTCGGGCATTATCTTGTTGGAAAGTTGGATCTGCCAGGGTGTCAAGATAGGGTAAAAGATGGGGTTCTAGAACTTCGTGGATATAACGCTGCGCATTCATGTTACCTCTGATGAAGATTGAAGGTGACCTGGAACCATAAGCTATAGCACCCCAAACCATAACTCCAACAGTGTGATGAACATGTTTTTCAACAAAAAACTGTGGATTCCTCCTTTCACCACGTCGCCGTCTAACCCTGGCACGACCATCGTGCATGCCTAAACAAAATCGAGACTCGTTACTAAAGACAATACTGTTCCATTCCTGATCCCAGAGTGACCGTTGTCTGCACCACTCAAGGCGATTACGTCGGTGTTCTCGAGTTAAAGGGAGGACCCAGTGTGGCCGGTATGAAAACAAGCCAAAACTTCTCATTCGTCGGTAAACACTTCGCATGCCAATAGGTCTTCCGTGTTCTGCAAACCATTCATTTGCAATGGACCTGGTAGTGGAGAAACGGTCCCTTAAGGCCAATAATCTTAGGCGGCGATCTTCACGGTCTGTTGTTCTACGGCGGCGTCCAGTGCCCCTTGCTCTTTGCGTACGGCCTTCTCGAAGCCATGCCTGACAACACCTAACCACAGTGTCTACACTTCTTTGCACTCTAACTGCAATTGCCCGAAAAGAAAGTCCAGCTTCCCGAAGTCCCACTATACGGCCCCTATCAAACTCACTAAGTTGACGAAATCGTACAGGTCTCCGTACTCTAGGCACCGTAACCGATCGTAAAGGATGTCAAGAATCAAAATCCGCCAACGTTGATTCTTTACTGTGGCTGAAATATTCATTTTTATAGCGTTAGTGAATTAAAAAAAAGCAGTATAAAAACCGGAATGTCCAACTGATAAGGCTGAAAATTTTTTCACTTGTTATTTACAGTAAGATAAATACATTCACCAACTTTTATTAAAATAAAACCATTTAAACTGGGTGTTCGGATTTATATGTCACTTAGTATATGAATATTTACCTAAATACCTTTAGAAAACGAATTCATACTTCATTGCTCCATAAACAAATGCGTTATTAGTAGAAAAACTAAATTCCTTGTTTTTACATTATCTGTAATGAACACAATACAAGTCTGAATATAAGCACTTTTTTATGAGGGACAAAATATGTAGACAAATTCTTTTCAACATTAGTTTAGTACAGTTCCCTGTCAGAAGAGTTATACAACGATGGTGAACGTCAAGTCGACATTGTCAAAAATTTGAAGCTGAAGCAAAAGCAGTTTGGGCAATATTGAACAAATATAAACAAAAAGGTATCTTGGAAAGTAGAATATGGGCTACTATGGACACC